CTGTGACCATACAGCTACTCGAGAGGATATCAATAGAAAATATTGTCAAATATAAACATTTCTTTCAATCTCTATTTATGAAATAATCAAAGTGCTTTTACCCTGAGTTCATTTAAAATGCATCTTTTAACTGTTTTGAGGTGACATTACTATTGATTAGGCCTGTTTAAAAGGAGATAAAAGGGAAATATATCAAATCAAAAATTATGAAAATAAAAGTACATTCATTTTATCTTATCATGTTTAAATGCATCTGTTCAATAAAAGCTTATCAAAGCTGCACGTTTTGGACAACATTAAATGATTTTCACAATATCAGTGACGTCATGTCAACATATCTAATTGTTCTAAAAGCGTATTCCCCCCCCCCCCCAATCTTTTACTATAAATAGCTATAAATTCTATCTATTGATAAGTATATTCAGACGTTGATTGCCTGCCTATATTGAGAATTCATGTTTTGCTGCAGTGCACCGGTGTCTGATTCCTTGTGTATTTGAGGAAATAAATCAATCTGTTGCACGCCAACTATGTATATCTTAAAGGAGCAATTGATATAACGCTCAAAGAACCGGCATGCAACCCGAGCTCCTTGTGTCTACAGATTCAATTCCCACACTCAAAGTGATTAAACTTGTAAAAAATACGTGTAAATTGTCTAAGCGGGGGTTGCTCGTTATTCAGAGCGACCAAAATAACGTTTATCAGTTTTAAAAATCTTACAATAAAAAACCACAAGAAACCCACATTATATGAAATACATTGTGGCGTTTTTTATAGAACTATTTTCTCTTTATTTTGAGCGTCTACAAAAGGCTATTATAGAAAACTATTATTTTGAAATTAGTGGTTGTTTGGTTCAGGGCTATACTTACAAAACAATGGCATAGCATTTACGGCATTTCAGGTAGATTTTTCATATTTGACCCGAAAATCATTAATAATAAATGTTGAATGCGATATAAGACGTTTGATATCCGGTATGCTCACAGAAAATATAGCAATGAAAATAGCATACAAGGTTGACCGCTTTGATTATAAATTCATAGTGTTTAATTGAAATCCATTGGCATTTCTCATATATTTATGAAATATATTTGTGAAATACATTGTGTAGCCGAATAAAAAAAGCATGCTTTTAAAAATGTTTTCTTATATATTCAGCAAATTAAATGGGCTAAAGTAACATGAACGATAATCTGAACGATTTAACATGTGATTAAAGGATACAGCCATTCGATTAAAGATTAACAAAAATTTTGGAATTACGCACGATTTTTTTACTATTTTATCACCATTATAGTAAGTTTTGCATTTTCTATTTAATTTTAAATAAATGAATAAATTCATGTAAAAAATTGTATTCATGCATATGATTTAAATCATTTTATCATATTATATTTACGAGATAACGCTAATTTTTAATTAGAAACATATATAATCGCTTTAATTATTGGTAATTTATGTAAATGTCTCTTACAACATGTCACGTGACACTTTACAAGTTCATGTTTCACTTTCATTCAGAAAAAAACTCATATCTTTTTTAAAATCTACTCGGATAATAGCCGGTGTACGGTATCAGACGAGAAAACGAAGACATGTTTTTGAAATGAACACCCGGATAGGGGGTAGCTCTAAGCATGGTATACCATTCCAATCACCGAATCGGAACCTCGCTTTGTTAAAAAAACCCCTCTTTAATTCATAATGAAAAGGTAAAAGGAATGGCCTAGATCGATGTTCTATATCACTATATAGGTCCGAATTTTTCTCAAAAAACATTATTTCTTTCTTTACAAAAATAATAACAAAATGTCCTGCTGGGTTCTTTGCCGGTAGTCCTGTGTCGCTGGGTCGTGTTTGTGTGTGTGTGTGTGTGTGGGGGGGTGCATTCAGTGATGTCACCCTTCCTTGTTGGTCTTGTTTTTCATATTTTACAGAATGGACAAATTTGACATATTAATTATTTCCAACATGTGTTACTTGTCTTGAAATTACTAATGTCAACGCTATATATCATTATGTAAGATTACATTTCATATAAGAAGTTTGTAGTCAATAAGTCTCTTTTAAGTCAAGACATTTGCAAATAAAGAAATTTGAAATTACTAATCCTTAAGCTACGTATTTACCATGTGCATATTTAATTTCCAGTAAATATATTTCAGAAATCATTCAATTAGAACCATAAACATTTCACTTATTAAATCCCCTTCCCACTTTACAAGTTTGTTTCACTTTTTGATCGTCTTTGTAACTGACTGTATGGTGGATTTGGGGCTGTTCTGAACACCCTGGGGTCTTTAGCAGTTAAATTACTAATGTCAGACGCTATAGCTGTCATGAATTTATAATTTCCAACATAAATTAATTCTTAATATTTGCAAGACCTCATTAGAATATTTAAGATTTCGCCTAGCAACAGAATATTTTTCCTATAGTTTCAGCAAATCTCTGACGGCATCATAGGACAATAACAACTGATAATGACTTTAAGTCTCACGAAGCAAACATGACCAGTTTCCTTGCGCATCCGCCGCCCGTCAGACCAATGGCCATGCTGTTCGCTATCAGTTTCTCTTCTTGAAATAGAGTTGGTAAGCGAACAGCATGGATCCTGATCAGACTGCGCGGATGCGCAGGCTGGTCTGGATCCATGCTGGTCGCAAACGCACTACGTTGGTTTTGTCGTGACGCGGCTCATATTTCTTTTCCCCAAACATGTTGTACTAAATGTTTAAAGTCTACAGTGTTGATGAAATTAATGATGAGTCCAGAAGTTTAAGAAATTTGACGGAGACTAGAACTTTCTAATCCAATAATAAATTGAATTAATACCCATTTCAGCAACATGCTTCCAAGTTCATGCTAAATTCTATGCAAATTTAGCTATCATTTTTAAAGATACTAGTAAAAATATCATCCTCATGAAGTCAACAATCGGCGTTATTTAAGCTAGTATAAGGAATTTTGAACCCATGTAGTTTATATACTCAAAAACCAAAAACATGCAAACATTGTCCTTTCTCCGTAAGGAACGGGATAAAAATGGTGTTAAAAATCTGAAACATTTATGTGCAATGTTAATATTTTTAAAATATATGTTCTGAACTCTTAAGGAATGTTTGTAAAGTTCAGTTTTTTAAAAAAAAATGTGCGCTTATCAAGAGGTTTGCATCATTAAAGAAAAAACATATTTGAAGGACGCGGTCTAAAATCATACCTCCCTTGACGTCATAATATGATCCAACTCTTTAATAGCTTACCAGTTTTTTTTCTGTAATCAATTTTGCCAAGATGACATCCTTTCATAAATGCATAAACTGAATAAACTAATCTGATCTTTTTTCATTTAATTTCTCGTACAAATGAAATTGAGGTGATTAACGTATCAGTCGGAATGTTTATGTTAAGAAAGTCATTTTCCAATGTATTTGTCAGTTTTATTTTGTTTCCTATAAAGGTGATTAAGAATTCTAAAATGGTACCACCTTTTATGATTTGTACCATGAAAAGTGACTGTCATGAAAAAGAATGAGACCTAAATCAATGAGATAAAGAATGGCAGAGTAGCTCAGAGTTGTTGATGATCCGTATTCCGGATAGTTCAGAATATTTTAACATAAAATATATCAGTACCGTTTTTAAAATAATAGTAAAAAAACGTTAAAGGACTTAAATGCATATTAATAATTTCGCATTTAAATATGCCTTGAAAATCTATCGTGATATACAATTTGTTACAGAAAATAAGGATAGAAACAAAACGAGTGATGACAGTCATGTTAAAAAAGACATATAGAAAGACAGATAAAGTAAAAAGGTTATGGTGTTTCGGAACAAATTAATTGATTTTATATATAAAGCTATCATGCTTGGCACAAAAATGTATACATAGATTTTCCTTTTTATATATATATAGTGTTCGAACTAACGGAAATATGTTTGTTTTCTTTTATTTTATCATTTAGTTGTTTTAAAACGATTAAAAAATATACAAAGCGTCTTAACATTAATTAGGATAAAACTAACCATTTTACAATGTATTAAATAAAAACAATATCATAGTATAATTTTGAATTTGAATTTCTGACATGTAAAAATCCCCAATCCCGCCCCAAATAAAAAGTACAAAAAAGAAAAATAATAAAATAAAATATCAACAAAGAAACACAAACTTTGGGCGGGTGGGGAGAATTATCAAATCCAAACCATTTGTGTCATTAATGAAAAGTGCTTTGGCATGAAAAGAAAATTCCGCTAGAAACTTTTTGTCTATTAACATCTTTTGTGAATACTTATTATGTCAAAAATTACGCGAAATACCCTTCAAATTTTAAAATGACAAAACTTCTTCCAAAACCGAGTGAATAAAAAAAAACACAACAATCTTAAAAATAATAGGACATGTTCTCTATTACTTTTGGGCCATACAAATTCTATGCCAAAGTTTTGTGACGGTAAATGAGACATTTATTTAATGTGGTCTTACATCGAACAAAACACACATTGTGGCATTACAGTCTTTCGTTATAAGAGACTTAAACGTTCCATTTTTCCCCAGACAAAGGAAAACGACGTGTATAAATTACTGATGTTGAAAACCTTTTCAAAAAGATGATTACAAAATCAATTCCAATCGAAACAGCCGCTAATGAAATTCAATGCACATAGACAGGAACCAAGAACCGAGAACATGATTTTTTTTGTAAACACAAGCCAGGTTTTTTTCTTCTTGATGATTGGAATGAGCTTTAGTTATAGACATTAATCTAAAAATTTCGATTTCAATGTCTAGTTTTTACTATTTCGTTTTAAATATAATACATGCTGATTGGATAGTGTTACATTAAATAAGCTTAACTTGGCCCTCACAGTTTTTGTTAATAACCATGACTGGTGGGCTTGTATAACTACAATAGGACGTCGCTTACGACACATTGATTTTCAAAGAGTTGGGACATTTAAATATTGATTCCAATTCAACTTGTTTATTATCATTATTATTTCTACTTTCATTAAGAGACGCACTAGTCAGTTGTTATAAGTAGATTAAAAAAGAAGAATTCATATTTAAATTAGATTTCTTTCGTGTATTTTACTATTGAATGAAAGATGATGGATTAACTACAGTCAGAATTACAGTGATAATAAGTGAATTAATTTAAAAGACGGATGTTTCATTATCTTTGGCATTGTTAATGGTGAATGTTTAACAAACATAATGTAATGCCTGTACAAGAAGATGTTCTGACACTCTGACCTGAACTATGTGTGAATGATTCAAAATAAACATTTGGCTCAACAGAGCAGACTGTTAAGACATTCGGTTATTGTTATAGAATTGAATAAACGTTCATAGACAAACCAGACAAACAACCTTTGTGTCTACTCTTTTATCGCACATTAGAGAATGTTTTTGAAACGTCTAAATGTTAATAAAAGAATTTAATGACCTGATTTAAATGATTTCAGGGGATTAAACAACTTGATGACGAGTTTATAAAAAACTTCAATGAAAAACGAGAGACTGAAGATTTTACCGTTGACGCCTTTGTAGACGCTTTAAACGAACACATGAAGAAGACAAGGCTGATCCGAGTGCAGTCTTTCAACATCAGGGAGGAGGGAGTCGATTGGAATGGCAACCAGAGATCCAACAGTTTTACCGGCTTTGGTAATACGGTTACCCAAAACACTAACTCACAGCCCTCCATATTAAAACGACAGCATAGTTTTGCAGGTTCGATGACTAGACAAAGTAGTTTTGCTGGTTCTTCACGGCAAAATAGTTTCTTGAGAGCACTCCCGGGTTCTCGGCAAAATAGTTACTGTAGAACTAGATCGCGTGGAAGTACTGGAAGTTCATACACTTATTCTACAACAAGTTCAGGTATCAGTTCAGGAAATCATTCAGAAATTTCGGACAGTTCAGGAAGTGGTGCCAAAAGTTCACTGTCACGTGAGTTATCATATGGACTTCTAACGGATTTCGCAGACATTGAAGAAAAAGATGAAGATATAAAAACAGCTCGAGAAAGTAATCCTGCTTCAAGAAATAGTAATGACAGTCTGAGACCGGTAAGTGAACTCTTTTCAAACGTAAATGATGAGCTATGTTTTGATGTTTAGTTTGAAGTCAAGCCAACACTGTAAAAGTCTTATGTCCACTTAACCAGCTTTACTGCCAGGGAAAGGCTTACTCTAATGTTGCAAGAACATGTTGCCCAGCCCATTTGCTTTTTGTTATATTGTCATCATTTGTATAATATTTGAAATGCATTAAATACAATAAAATATGTTTAAACTTAACTGCTAGGGAAAAAATCAGTTGCTGTTGAAATAATATATATTTGGTTTTTAACAAACAAACAAACAGAAATTTCTTCAGTTTACACTTTTTCTGTTTAAACTACTTTGCTGTTTTTAGAACTTGCTCGATTTGCAAAAAAGTACGATCCGCAAATTTAAATGACATTTTGCTTGCATCTATGTATATGTTATAGTCTTTCTTTTCCGAACAAGCTTGAAAATAAAATTTTTGTTCTCATTTTTTAAAGTTAAACTATTGATCGATTGGATCTAGGATTTAAATTGATTCTCTCACTGTAATATTTTCTATTATTTCAATATAAATTTTAAGGAGAACTGCGGCTGTTGTTGCAAGGTCTTTTTTTCCTTTTCTTTATTTTTTAGGTGAAGATCTTATCTCAAATGTTTTATTAATTCTAAAAGAAGACATCCGTCAATGTTAAATTTTCGTGCATTAAAGTGATGAAAAGAATGTTTAAACATTCCTTTATTTACATTTATGGCTATAAATTGTGCTCATTAGGGGTTTTGTTGCAAATAATTGATGGCAAATAATTCAACATTTAAAGATACCCATTCATCATAATATTTTTTTTCGTTATAATCTTCTAAAGACCTTTTTAATTTACTCCATTAATTCCTTTAATATGATTTAATACTGACGTGTTGTGTAAGGTAATCCACTGTTGAAAATATTTAATTGATGTCGATCTTTGCGGTGCAATTTAATGTAAGTAATGCAGAGTCACGTTTAAAACTCGGCTAAATAATAATTAAAGAGTACGAAAATAATGGTTGTAATTTGATACACCTGTGATGGATAAATGCTCATTTCACCAAGGGCAAGATGCAACTAAAGGGATCGTATTAAAAAGGGAATTTAAAAAAAAACACACAGCAAACATATAACTAAGCATTTTATGTTAGGAACAATCAATAGAAAATGAGAAAGTGATCCATTTGTGAGGCGGTTCTGTCATTAAAGTGATAATTTTATCATTGCAGCATATACGAAAGCAAAAGGTTCAATTTTATGTTTGTTTTGGCATTATTTGCGAATATGATATTGGCTATTTGTAGAACATAGGAAAATAAAATAGACTCCAAGAACGCCCAAAACGTCTAAATTGAAAATGTTACAGGCTGGAATTGTTTGAGCCTGTTCATGACGGTTCTGGCAAACACATGCTACCGTTTACACACTCTAGCACCGTTGTAAGCAGAATTAGGCATTTTAACATAAAAACAAAGGAATTTTTTTTTTGAAACCTGTTTGAATTACATCATTCGTCCCTGATGATTTATTAAAGTGATGTTGGTAATAGCATGCTATCAGACAAGATATATAAAATATAAATAAAAGCTACAGGTACGTATCGTATTACATAATGGTTGAAAAACTGTCAAAATGGTAGTTGATATTTGACAAATTGCAAGTTGGTATATTTGTTATATATAAGTCTGCAATTTAAATGTAATGTGTACAATACATGAGATAAATAATGAGGGCATTTAAATTTTTGAGTGTCTGTTTAAATTGTAACAACTAATGTGTGTTGTGCACTGAATTCCTAATTAATGTTAGAAAAGAAAACATGCCTTGCTGTAGGGCTAAATGTCTGTATTATTTACGCTTTTTAAATTATAGTCTTACTATCCAACAATTGTATAACGATGGGGAAAATACACGAAAAAAAAACAACACGAAAATTGTGTTCAAAACTTTAATGTTAATGATCATTTTTATATATCTTGTTAAAGCTTAAAATCTTAAAAGATAATATTTCCATTTTTACATAGACTTGACTTTAAAATAAATGACATAGTATAGAATTAAGAAATAAAATAAAATGCCAAAATAGAAAAGGCGGATTCAACAACGATTTGACATAGGAATCAGTGTCTTAGGTTTGACAACGACCACGCTTAAGTTAGAAAGTAAATGATAAAGTCTTAGTTGGATTTTACAACATTTCGATAATATACTTCCAAAAAGTTTTAAAGATAATATTATAATTTCATTATGATAACACTGTTATAAATTGATAATTATACCATGTAAAGTAACAATCTATTTGCTATTGTATTATTTTTTTTAATGTTTTTCTTCTAATCATTAAAAGGACATTGACGCCTTCAAACAGGTCAACACGAATATCATTTATGACTACTGGAATGTAACGACATCTTTATTCACTAGAGTAGAAAATGTCTAACAAATTAGTTTCAAAACGCCAATGATCGTAATTCTAAACCTTACATACTCATAGCAATATGAAACAAAGCAGTGGGTGTTGTTTACAGAGAAATTCTATATGCTCAGGGGCGAAACTCCATACCCCACGTGTTAATACGCCATTGACAAAGTTTCAAAAAATAAATTGAGGGACAATTCCTTAACAAAAAGTTAAAAAACTCCATATAACGAAGTTCTTTATCTGTTTATTTGACTGGAAAATTTGTCCATTTTTCAATTACGATCGTCCTTCGGTCTCTATGAACCTCTTGAAAGGATATATGATTTATGATGAATAAGAGCTCTTAATTAATTTTATCTGATATGACCAGGCCTTTTAAATCCATTGATTAGAAATATTTGAAAAAACGTAATTTTAGAATTCAACACCGTTAATTGATTTTATCAGATTTTTTTACTAATATTTCCACTTGAAATGTTTCTCTCTACGCATTATAATTTATTTCTTTTTTGTTTTCTTTCTTTTTGCATAAAATAGTTCATTGACCTATGACATGTCAATGAATAAGTGACCAAAAAAAAAAAACACACAAAAAACAACAAAAAACAAAACAAACAAACAAAAAAAGTAAGGAATATAGATACTTAAATGTAGAAATTACGCAATGGAAAAAATCTTACGAATCTTTGGAAATGGCGAAATTTTGGCAAGAAACCTTGCATTTTCACCCGATTTTGTCTCACTTCTCGTTTTCGTTAAGGACTTGAAAATTGGCAAAACGTGCAACATAAAATTATTGTTTGCCTGTTATGTTTTATTAACCGACAAGCAGGTAAATGAAATTATATTTCAATTCATTGAGCTTGCTGATCTATTATTGCTAGTGAATATTGTTGAAGTACTGGTTACTTTTGACAACTAAACAATGACAAGATTATTATAAATTTCATTTAAGATATAGCAGTCATGAAGTCTGGCAGTAAACCTTGCATTGAACATGCAAAACAAAAGGTCTTGAAGAATGGCTTGCTAAAATGCACCCATGACTAAGCAAATACAAACATGTTCTAGAAAGTTCCTATGTTTTATGTAACTGTTGTCTTAAATTTCCAAGTTTTAATTTTACATATTAAGATCATTTTCCTTTCATATACATTTCTAGAATAGTCTGACCTCATCTATTGTGACTTGCAATTATGTAGAACAAAAAATCTCACGCCATTTTTAAAAGAATAAAATTAACATTCAATCTGAGAAAAAAAAGTAAATCACATACGTGCAATTATGATACTGTGCCAAATGAGATCACAATACTTGTATATGTTAATGGGCTATTATGTATACCTATAATGAAACAATTAAGTCATTGGTCTTCGATAGAAAATTCTATAAGACTGTGTGTAACAGGTCACAGCGCTATCTCAAACAGTTTGATAAATGTGTCTTCTCTAAGACTATCGAGACAATATTTGTAACCCTAGAACAATACAGATAAGACTTAATTGTCGCCTAAATACCCTAGTTTTTTTTAAAAAAATCTGGCAGTTATTATTTGTCGTTTATATGATCTTACCGGTGAATAAGAAATTTTATTTGATTGTTTATATGTTACTAGTGTACATGAAATGTAAATGACGAATTATTTGACAATCAAGAAATCAAAGTAGTATAGAAATGCATGTAATTTCCGTTAGTGAAACGGAAACAAATGAGATTTATAAACCTTAGATCTTTCAGTGTTTTTCCAAATCAGTATGTTTAAATGATAATCAAATTGATTTTTTATACAAATTTTTCGTTTATCACTTACAGTTACAACAATAATATAAACATAAAAATGACTTGGTATCAAAGAGATAAATGATATACATGAAATAAAGGCCCAACTTTTTGTGGGTAAGATAAAATTTTAAGTCCTTTTGGTTTATATTATTTGATTAATTCTTTATAGTCTAACACTGATTACGAGAACCTCATTAAATCAAACTTAAGAGTGTTATATAAATTGTCCACAAATATAAAAAAACACAGTAAAGTAACGTAATTTTACTGTACAGACAAAAAATGTTTCAACTATTCAAATAACGATTAATTACTTTAAAATTGTAATCAAGGCTTTTTAAAGTGGTTTAAGTGCAATGTAAGGGTCGTAAGAAAAAGATAAAAAAACATTATTTTAATCTTAAAAACAGAAAGGCAGGTGACGTTTGTAGCGTAAATAAAAACGCTGTGAATACTTTGAAAATAATGCATAAAAAACTTTTGACAAATACCAACATATTTTATTTTGTTAGATTTGTTCAAGTGTAATATCTCCCACTAATGATTTAATTTCGTAAAAGTTTCTTGATATTGGCAAAGTCTTCGCAAAATATAAAACAAAAACATTGTTAATGTAATCTTATAACTGAAAAGACAACTAATACATTAATCAGAAGATTTACAATTCAAACTAATAAGTTCTTATCTAGTTGCTTTTTACCAGTTTCCATCTTATGTGCAACTTGCTGTTCATTTAGTATTATGATGTCTTTTTTACTTTGTATGTTTTGATTACGAAGCCTTACGAAA